TGACGTTTAATTTTCAAAAACAATCAATGCCAATAAAGAAAACATTGATTTCCATGTTGGATTCTAAGTGGACTGCAAAATAATGCCAAAATACAAGTATTACAGATATGGAAAATTATAATAATAATAATAAAGTATTGAACACAAACAATTGCACTCATTGTAAAATTGTATTGCTGAGAGTTCAGAACATTAATTATAAAGTAGAAACAATTTTGCTTAATTTTGCTTAGATTTAAATTTGCTGTTGACATTATCGGCAGACAATGTGGCCTTTTTCTTTTGAATGATGTGAGGTGAGGGTGAGAACAGGCAGGATCACAGATTCAGCATATGCATTACGGTGTGTATTATGTGGATTGAGCATAAAACAATTAAGTTGTTCCCTAAAACAACTTAAGCAATGTGTTTCAACTCAATTTAAATAGGTTGTTTGAACTATTTTATTATAAGTTAAACAATGTTATCTGCGTCCCTCAGACTGCCTGATATGAGTCTTTTAGTCGAGCTTTCAGTGTTGTGAACTTTATCAACTTTTATCAGGGGGTTTACACTTTACATGCCAACTATAAATGTGCTCAGGAAGGAAGCTGGGGTGTGTGTGGGTGGGTGTGTGTGTGTGGGTTTGTGTAAGGGTCTTACTCTGCAATGGTGCACTGTAAACCGTCCCATTTGCAGTAGGGGTCTCTTGATAAACGACATTCGACACACTCATTCCCGTACACACCACATGTGGCCAGATCAATCTGAATCAGCTCATTACCAGAACTCGCATACAGAAGATTCTGAGAAATCAAAACAGCACACGTTAGATGAACTATACTTTTATAACCTTAAATGACCCTTAGATTCTAATGAGTAACATTTAAATGGACAGTTCAGCCAAAAATGACTTTTGCTCAGCATTTACTCACATTCATGTGGTTGCAAAGCTTTAATTTAAAGGATATATTTTAGAGAATGTTGGAAACTTGTAGTCACTACTATGTACCTTCCATAGTTGCATGCTTTAAGCTTTTTTGTTTTTATTATTATTATTATTATTACTTTTACATTTATTATTATTATTATTGTTATTATTATTATTTTATTATTATATTTATTTATTAACTTATTATTTATTTATTTATTTATTGTAATTATTTTATTTTTTTATTCTTTTTATTCTTATTATTATTACTATTATTATTATATTTATTATTATTATTATTATTATTAATTTATTAATTATTATTATTATAATAATTTTTACATTTTTTTATTATTATTATTATTATTATTATTATTATTATTATTGTTATTGTTATTATTACATTTATTATTATTATTGTTATTATTATTATTATTATTATTTTATTATTTTATTATATTTATTTATTAACTTATTTATTTATTGTAATTATTTTATTTTTTATTTTTATTCTTATTATTACTACTATTATTATTATTATTATTAATTATATTTATTATATTTATTATTATTATTATTAATTTATTCATTATTATTATATTATTATTATTATTATTATTTTATTATTATTTTATCTCCCTTATATTGAGCATTTTTTTCCTTGGTTTGCTTTTGGTTAAGTAAAAAAAATGTAAAAATGTCTGTTAATGTTTGCTCAATATGATTTGTTTTACACATATATTAAAAACAGAACAGGAAAGAAAAAAAAATCTAAATCCCATAATGCAACTCGCAATCATAAATACGCAAAAAACACATTATTCATTTTTACAGTGCACAATTAGCTCCATTTGACATCCCAGAGTTGTGTTTTTGATGCATTTTTGCTTGTGTTGTACCTCAGAGGTGTGCAGAATCATGCTAGCAATGCTTGATCCATGTGGAAATGGCAGGTACTCGGCAATGACAAAAACAGGCTCCTGAACTGGCCTTTCCAGGACTTTATGAACTCCTCCACTTTCTGTCAGAAACACAACACTTTATTGTCAGCTTTATTGTCAATTCTATCAGTTAGGTTTAGACTACTTAGGCTTGTCACAATAATCGATGTATCGACTTATCGTGCAGTGGACATGAATATACCTATTTATACAGCGTGGAAAATAAGTATTGAACATATTGTCATGTGTTTTCCTGGGAATAATATTTCTGAAGGAGCTGTTGACATGGAACTGAAGCAGATTTTGGTAAAAACCCAAACAATACAAACATAAATCAAAACAAATTCAGTTCTGTGTTTATAAGAATAGAATGACAGGAGAAGAAAGAGGTGAACTACTGAAATGTATTTAATACTTTATATGAGAGGCTTTTTAAATGATGTCAGCTTAAAGACGCCTCTCATATGGAGAATGAAGTCTCCTGCATTGCTCAGGTGTGAGTTTCTCACAGACTTTAACTGTGTTAAAATCTTGATGGTCAAATCTTGATCAAATCTGAGCTTTATTCTGTATTCTCTATTGGATTCGGATCAAGTGATTGGCTGGGCCATTCTACAGCTTGATTTTGAACCATCTGCGAGTCTCCTTGGCTGTGTTTTGGATCATTGTCTTGCTGAATTTGTTTCATCTTCATCCTGCTAACGTAGATGTTGGACGGAAGCAGCTGATAATCATTTACACTGAGGAAGGGCGGAGCGTTGCTGAAGAACTACTGAGAGATTTCAGCTGCTTTCTGGGCTTTCACTGCTGAACTACACCTCCCTTTTCTTTGTGTGTTCAATACTTTTTCCCAGCTTTCATTTTATTAAACATAACCTAATTTCTAAACTAATTCGATTTATTTTCTTTGCATATATGGATTTATCTGGTGAACATTTCAAGTCAACAGCACCTTTAGAAAGATGCTTTCTGTGAAAATTGGTACATTTACATGTGGTTTTAGTGCCTTGAATGTGTTTATGCCAATGTAAATCCTGTTGTAGAATCGGTATATAGAATAAATTAGTCTTAAAATAACATTAATATTAACAATCGCAATCATTTCCATGCCAATATACAGTATAGCGCAACAAAAACTGACTTTGGTTTAAATGCTACTTACTTTCAGACCCTATAGATGATACTGATAACACAGGACATTACAGGGGGAATTTAAAATATGCAAATAAATCCACGTTACGCTAGTACATTTAAGAGAAATCCAAAAATACTGTATGCAAATATGGACAAATTGCAAGTGCAAAAGACACACTCCAAAAATAATGCTTCTCACTTGGAGTTTTTGGCTTGTTTCTAGTCTGAATATCTAAAAATTCTTAAATAATGAAGTGTTGTTTTTTAGACAAACAACACATATTGTCTTGTTTTAAGCTATAATGAGTCAAAATTGAGAGTTTTCCCTGTCTTAAAACAAGCTAATTAATCCCCTAAATGTAGTATAAGCAAAATAATGTTATCAAAATGAAATCTAGATTAGTTTTCTTGCTTTAAAGAAAAACTCAATGAATATGTTCATATTAATTCATTCATTCATTTGCCTTCGGCTTAGTCTCTTTTAGAATTAACTCAGGCTGATAGAAACCCAGCCACTGTCATCATTCAGTCGTCTGACTAACAGGATATTATCAGTGGTTTACGGCATGATTCCTCATCTTACAGTGTCCTATAATCGTGAAATGAACATTAAATCAACATGAACTTTCATTTACAGCCCATTAATCCTGTGTAACGTGACGCACTGATGAGCGAAACCGGATGTTATATAAAATAACACTCATATAACGTGAGCTATGATGGATGATGACTCCTATGAGCCGGTTTATCTAATGATTTCTTTGTATTTAATGTATTTACAGTAATTAATGTGTTTTTCTTTTTAAAGGAGACTGACGAAGCATCAGATTTAATACTCTAATTGTGGATTTCATGAGTCAAAACTGAAGCAAAGTCTGATTTAAACAGATTAAACATTTTGACTCGCATGAAAACTAAAAAGCTTGTAAACAAGCAATCAAAATCTAATAAAAGTTTATAATCTGTTCTCGGAGATGCTGAATAATTTAGGATGTGCGCATTGAAAGCAAATTGCATTGTATGTTTTATCAGATATGCTTGTTTATGATGTAAAATATAAAATATGCATCATAATATTAACTCAAACTAGGTTTTTAAGTCAACTAAAACTGTCTAAAACATCCATTTTTGTTACTTGTAAAGAAATATTAACTAAACTATTAGATCAAATCAAATTTATTTCTAAAGCACTATAAAAACAACAGTATTGACCATTGTGAAATAGATATACCACGTCTGTGTGTAGCACTAGTTTCTTCCATATCTCCTCCAAAGCCTTCTGTTTCTGACTGTTGTAGCTGTGAAATAACTCTAATCATTCAGCGGAGTGATATGGAGCTGTAATGCGCTCTAAACCTGCCGGAACTACTTTATCTGTGCCTTTATCTGACAATAACCAAATGCCTCATCATCAGCCATTCAGATTCAAGCATTCAGCAGACCAGAAGTATAAATCCACTGTTGAGATGTGGATTGAATGTTGTGCATAAGAGTGTGTTAGTCAGGTGTGTGTCCTCCTTAAATGTCTCCTGTGTGTAGCACTAGTTTTCCTCCACATCCTCCTCCTCCGCCGGTTGTGTTTTGATGTGATTTCTGACTAAAATAACTCTAATCATTCAGCGGAGTGATATGGAGCTGAGATGCGCTCTAAACGTGCCGGAACTACTTTAGCTGTGCCTTTATCTGACAGTAACCAAACACCTTAGAGTGACCATCAGCCAATCAGAATCAAGCATTCAGCAGAACAGGAGTATAAACACCTTAGAATGATTATCAGTATAAAATTATAAGCATAATAAGGAATTATTAGTAATTTTCATTTGAAATAAAAATAAACTGTAATAATCTCACCTAGAGACAGAAGCAGGACGGTGCTGTCCTGAACTCTGTCCACCTGTATGTGAGAGTAATGGTGGTGTCTGAATATGAGCGGGCCGTTCTCTGGCTTCACCGTCTGCTTCATTTCCGGACGCTCCTTCATAAACGTCAGCACTTCTCCGTTTAGCTGAGTGCTGTCCACTACACACTAAAACAGAGACAAGGAGTCAGAAACCATCACAAAAGACCATCGCTTTACAGAGAGGCTTCACACAAACATTTCATTCTGTCCTCCTTTTATTTACAGTTGATATCAAAATGATTCCCCCTCCTGTGAATTTCTTTTTCCAATGTTTCCCAAATGATCTTTAACAGATTCAGGAATTGTTCACAGTATTTGCTCAAATATTTTCCTATTCATGTCATGTACAGACTGTAAAAAGATAAAAGCAATTAGTTCCAAGTAATTTTATCTAAGTGCTTCTCCACCTAAAATGTTAGTGTTTGTTTTTCCAAACTGGCATGACTTTCCTGGGCAGAATACAAAATAATAATAAAAAACAATTAGAGCTGCCAGTTTAATGGGGTTATTGCATTAATTGGGTACAGTATGTACAAAAAAATGTTGTTTTTCTTTTAGTTCATACTGTTGCATGAAGATGATTAAAGACAGCAGCTCATTACATAAAAAAGGCAATGTTACACCCTAAAGTTCAAGATACTGTCAGTAAAAATGACTTGTATGAGGCTCTTGTATCTTATTCATTTATTATTATATGTTAAGCATGCATATATATATATATATATATATATATATATATATATATATATATATATATATATATATATATATATATATATATATATATATATATATATATATATATATATATATAGATATAAATATATATATTAGCGTGTCCGAGAGGACATGGTCAGCTCCCCCCGTGTTGGTGTGGGTTTCCTCCGGGTGCTCCGGTTTCCCCCACAGTCCAAACACATGTGTATGAGTGTGTCTGTGTGTGTGTGTGTGTGTGTGTGTGTGTGTGAATGAGTG